GGGCAGGAGCTGGGGCTAAGATTGGGAAAGGAGCTGGGGCTGAGACTGGGGCAGGAGCTGGGGCTGGGGCTGATATTGGGGTAGGAGCTAGATCAATGACAGGGTCTGTATGCAGGATGGGTTCTGGGTCCAGGGATGCCTCAGAGGAAGGCACTGTGCATTCAGCCAACTGAGGAGTTTCCTTTACTGAGGAGAAATCAGTGACAAGCATGGAGCACAGAGCATCTGTTTTTTCTGCTTCTAGTGTCTGCTTGTTTATTTCCAGTGGGCCCCCCATAGGGACCACAGGCTCATCCTGACCCATGTTGTGTTTAAGAAAACTGTTGTGATCCTCGACAGGAGCGGTCACCATCAGGTGCTCGTCCTGATCCAAGTCTGAAGAACAAATGAGAGAAAGAAAAACACCAGAATTAACACTTCAGCTGCAAACAACAACCTCTCCAATCAGAACATTAACTCTGATGGCAGTGATATCTGATTGGCTCTCTTAGAAACAGGTTACTAGCCAGCCAACTGTTCCACTAGCTGCTGTTGCCATGGCGACATCTTACTATGAAGGCCGTCACATACCAAGAGGTACACTGGAAAATACAAAATAAATAGCTCTGTTTTTCACTCTGTGTTGTATTCTGAGGACAGCAGGGACAGCGGCTGCGATAGTGTAATCATTACCTCCAGGGCTCCTTTTGACACATCAACATATTTCTGTGTGCCTGTCATACCAGCCATATTCATGTAATATTATGTTGCTAAGAGACTAGCTCTAGCTCTGCCTGCTGTGTTTCTACCTACTTCTACACACATTAGCATGTCTCTCTGAGTGTCATTTTCAAAGTGCTCCTGCCATCTGACATGCCCATGCAAACACATCCTCATCCGTATCCACATATTCACTACAATGTTTTGTTAAAGTGGTCGTTTTGTTCTCTCTGTGTTTGTATAGAAGCAGAACAAGTCACAGCAAATATTCAGCTAACTCAGCTGCAAAATACGCCAATCCCACAGTCTAATTTGCCTCGTGTTTTGCATCTGTTTACCATTTTATGAAGATATTTTTGAAAGGATATTTTTTTACCATATATCTGTTCATAGTAGTAGATTTGTTTCAGTTTCTTTGAAATGACAAATACCAAGCATCCTGCTGTGTAATCAGGTTTTATGTTTGGGGACTTTTTGTCACATAGTCTTCCACCGTCTATTAAATATTTATAAAGTACCACCGTGTGTAGACTGATTCTGATGCAGTGATGGAGACTTTGGATGGGCACAGACACAGAGATTACCATGTTTATATCCAAAGAAGTTTATAGAGTCACTTCAGCTCCTGGCTGCCAGGATTCAAACCTCTTCCTCCTCCAACAGCTGCAGGGTTAAGGATGTTTGTGGATGCAACAAACATTAACTCCTTCCCCTCTCTGTATCCTGGCTGACCTGTGCAACGTACACTTCTGTAAAATGTTGCTGGAGCTGTTTTACCAGGAGAATTTAACCCTATCAGAGCTGCAGCAGCTTCATTATAACGCTTGTTCTCGAAATGCTACTTTAAAAAAGCGAGCAGCTCGATGGTTTCAGCCTGATAACGATCTTTGTTCAGTCACTCCCTTACTGTGACCTCTATCACTGACCAGCACAAAGCAGGGCCAGCTTTTGTTGAACCTGTTGAATTCCAAAGCAAAGGCCATTCCCACACTATGCTGCAGACTCCTGCTGTTAGATTCAACTGACATTGACAGTGCTTCTGCCACCAACACACCCAAAACCCACCCAAAAATTCCTACTCAGTGTGGATACCAGTTTACATACCAAACATGCAGGACAGCTTTACTATTAGGTAACCTCAGGTATCTGCATTGTGCATTGGATGGAATTTAACACATAGGAAGAGTGAATGCTTCTTTCACTGGTTATGGAGCTTGTACCTCCAGAAAGGCAGGTCAATTCTTATTGAAGCTGAAATGAAGTCTGTAGGTACATTCCTAAAACAGCACACTGCATATGTATCCAATTACTGTGGCATTGTAAACTTGAAACACCATGTACACAGTTCACACACGGTAGTGGAGATCATATGTTTGAGATTTTAACAATCAAAGAGATGTTTATATTTAATTTATATTCATGTGAATGTATATTTTTAGAAACATGTTTTCATTGTCTAACGATACAGACCAATACATTCACACATGTGATGTCTGAACCTTTTGTGCAATATCAGAAAAGTGACAAGGAGTGACGCTGTCTGTCTGCTCTGTTCAAATTTGTCATGAGAACCTGCCGTCACCCTGAGATGTTACTGTAGCATGTTTACGTCTTGGACATCTTACGTCGGCAGCCTGTCTGCCTTTACAGTTGTTTTGTTCAGCAGTGGCCTCACCTGTTTTCTCTGCATCAGTGTTGTTGTTCTCCAGCTCTCCCAGGTTGGTTGAAGGCACGTGGACAGGGGTTGCAGCTTCAGGGGTGCCAAAATTACACTCTGAGTCAGAGCTGTGGCAGTCAGAGAGAGTCAGAGAGTCAGAGAGACAGAGAGACAGAGCGTGAACTTTCCTAACGTTCATGAGATGAGAGAGGAGAGCAGAAAAATCCTTACATAACTGAGGAATCACATTACAATACTGAGGAACACAGGGCGCACTGCTGATTCCTTAAGGAAAAGGGTGAATTAACTGAACTGCAACAGACCTTAACATACCTGCATAGACAGAAATGCACAAAATGCATCTGACTGTGCAAGTATATGGACAAATGAGGTTCTTCATTAAATCATACAGACACATTTTTGTTTTCATACTGTAGGATTCATGGCATCATGGCTTGTGATCCTAAAATGTAAACATGTGTTTATTTGTTAACCCTCATCACAGGCTGCAATCCAGATGTTCCCTTGTTTCATTAGAATAGAGAAACGAGGAGGTAAAACTAAAAGTCATAAAATACAAGTGTTCATAAAGTGTTCAGGAATACAGAATTATCTTTTGAACTTCCCAGGCTGTGAAAAACTGATTTTGAGGATGACGCCACACAACTATCAGTATGTTTTGCATGTGAATCAGAAATATATTGAATATAGTAATACACACAATTAAATGTGGTCAGTGTCATGTATCATTCACTTCATGCCAGCGACGGGGAGAGAGAAGAGTATAGTTGAAGTAAAATAGAAAGAGGAAGTAGGACGGCCTATTTCCTGTTCCACTGTAAGCACCATACAGCATGCTTTATAACATTCTAGATATAAGTGATCATTTCATTTTAAATAGATGTGAGCATTGCATCTGAATACAGGTTGTAACATATATATTCTTAGTCTTTTCCACGCTGATCTATGATTTAAGCACTAGTGTAATGGCCTTCACTTTGATCTGAACACATCAGGAAGCAACCTCACACATGTTGACGTGACTCTGGTTAAATAACAACTGATTAACAAGAGAGTAAACATGGATTCTGATATTTGACTTCACACAGCAGTCAATCAATAAAATGTGTTTAAAGAGTGAGCACAGAAGAAGTAGAGCAACAATGACCAGGATGATTATGTGATCAGGAACAGAGTCACACACGACACAGAGTCTAGAGCATGTGTCTTCTTTGTCTGTTTCCAGTGATTACATCACTAAATTAAATTGTACCTGACCGGTACCTGGGGCGTGTGTTGTTTCTGTCAAAGCCACAGAAATGTACCCGCTGAGAAAAACATTAATTTCTAACACTGTCACAGTCTAAAGCCCAACCAGTTCACAATGTGTGTGTCAACAACAAACACAAAGGTCTCTCTCTGTCAGTTTCATCTCTGAGACTCCTCACCCAGCCGCTAAAAATATAAACATGTACTGTCCCCACCTGTGGGAGAACCCACAGTGTCAGTGGTTCCCTGGCCCCCAGCACAACACTTGCCTGAAGCCTTGAGATCTCTCATCCTCCTCCTTTTCCTCCCCTCTCTCTCCACGTTGCTGGCTCTCCTCGCTGGCCTCCCTCCCCTCTTCATCCTCCTCTTCTCCCCCTCGCACCGCCGTCCACGTCCATTTGGCCCATGACACAGGTGACAGCCAAGACATCACTCCTCTGTCCTCTGGGTGGGATCCTCAGCCCTCTGTCGACTCACTGATGGGTTGTTTATCCAGCTCTGTACTGGTTGTCCTTTTCTGTGTGTTTCCTCCTCAGATTTCCACCCAGCTGCCAACTGCTCTCACATCTTCCCACAGAGCTCCTCTCTTCGCATGAGTTTCCCATGAAAGGGAGTAGATGAATCTTTTTCCAATCTTCTTTTTGTGTTTTCTTAAAAAGACTTCATCTGCGTTCTCTTCTCTTATTTTCCCCAGTCACAATCTCTCTCCTCCTTCTCTTTGCCTCTGTGGCAGAATACCACAGCTCTGATCAGCTGGTTTCCAGAATGCTGCTCTCACTCTCTCCTCTTCTAAACCCCCTCCAACCTCTCCCTTCCCCATCGGGCTGCTCCACTGACAGAGAATGCAGAGGGTGGAAGGCAGAGATCTTGAATGCAGCTTCTCTGCACTGAGCTGCATGAGTTCCCCTCTGGTTAGAGATTGGTATTTCCCTGTCAGACTGCTCTTCTACTCTGAGGCAGAGGGAGGGAGTCAGAAAACAAACACAGGAGGAGGAGAAAGAGGGAGGAGGAGGAGGAGTTGAATGGTTGGGTCTCCACATTTTACAGCCCAAAGAGAGGTTAGGAATGTGGGGCTGGATTTTCAAAAGCCCTTGTTTCCCCCCCAGGCTTTTAAACAGTTAACTGTCTCCCCCATCCAGTGGCAGGCATGCATGACCACGAGAACCTGTTCTGTGGGACAGCCTTGGGTGATCTACCTGAAATTTGTCTCAGGTATAGCACTGAATGCACAGGCAACAATGGACTTCAATGCACTCATCAACGGCAGCTAAAACCCCATAATTGTATCTGACACAGATACATTGTAAAGATAATTGTGCAGTAACACAGCATGACATCTCTCATGATGTGTCTGAAACACCTCGACAGCCTGAGAAGCAGTTTTATTACAGCTACTGCTGCTATACAAGAAGAAAAGTCAAATATGTGTCAGCAGAGGATTCATCATGTTTACATAAAGACAAGTGACATACGAAGGATAAACACCTCACAGAAAAAGACTCTTTAATTAATCATAATCTTCAAATGTGGTTTGTATTTAAGTAAAAGCCAATTAGCAGCACTTATCGAATCTGCCACTCACCTCTTTGATATATGAGTTTTCCGAGCCATAATGAAACGCATATGAGAGGAAAGTGAATGCAGCTTCTGTGCTTATAATATAGGTTCACTTTTCCCCCCAAGTCCATCCTAAAGCAATATTCACAGCCATATGTGCACTGACAGAAATATGGCTCTATACAGTCGCCCCTGCTGTTCATACTGGCTGTAAAGTAATCCCCCAGAAATGCTTCCTCACGGTAAATGAGCCATAGTCCTCCAAAGATAAATCAAAATGAGGCTTCAGCAGCTGCAGTTTTTAAATGGGCATATTTAAAAGTTACACTCTTATCAGAAGTACACTTTTTGTTATTGTGGCTACTCTGTACAAGGGCAAACTATGCAGGGAAACAGAAAAGGGGGATTTTGCTCCAAACTGACTGTTACTTTGGAGGAACCCTACTGTTTTGGCTAATTCAAACTTCCTGAGCCTCACATTATCTTCAGGTAAATTAATGAATGACTGTGAAAGACTGAAGTTAGACAGATAAACCAATCAAGCTGTATCAGCAGAAGATATATCACTATGTTGACTGACAACTGACAAGGAATATGTAGAAATCATCATGTATCTTGTATATAATATGTCTATGTTATAAAAGATATTATCACTGGACAATATATTGTTTGTCCTATCTTAACTTGTATATAACAATATCAGAATCAGCCTATTCACCGACAGGGAGATACTGTACATTGTCTTCATGGTCTGTAGTGTAAGGAATAACCACCATAAACTCTTTCATTGTAAAAATTGACATGTGAATATTTCATTGTGTTAGATAAAATGACTTTATCCTTTAATTTGCAGATGGACCGATGATAAAACAGGCAAACACTTGAAAAGAGAAAGAGGGATTTAAAATACACACATAGTATTAAGGAGATCAAAAAATCAATAGCCATGCTGGCAGCAGTGTTTGTAATAGTAATTTAGTGACTTTTAAATCAGTGTTTTTTTCTAGTACACCTGTAGAGTACTATGACAAAGCATCTTCTGTGTATTTCTCTTTGATATCGACCCACACTGCCAGAAACTCAAAGGTTTGGCTCGACCATGCAGCTAAACTCCTCCCAAATTCTCGCCCAGCAGCAGAGACACACATGCCTCAGTCAGCCTCAGAGTTTCCATATCTGAGCAGAAAAGGGTGGAGTGGGTCCACTGCCCATTCACTGTGGAACTTTTAGCACTGGGTTGAGGGTGATGGGGATCCCAGGATGCACTGGTCATGTGCAGGCAGTAATTAAGGAGTAGTTTTTCCTCAGTGCACAAGGATCAGTCTGTGCCTTTACTCTGGGTAGTTTCTCTTTCTTATCTGTGAACAATGTTCTCACAAAAGCATAAGGATTTTCTCTTTTTGAAGTTACTGAGACACGTTCCAAACGTTCAAAAGCTCAGGCTTATCAGAACAAAAGATTTTCTGTGTTGATACTGTTCAATAATCCATGATCATTAGTTGGATCATACAGTTTGTGATTAATAATTTACAACACATGAGAAATGTGATGTCTGAAAGTGGAAAGAACATTTAAGACTTTGTTTCCATGGACTCCCTGTTTATTCCAAGTAACTGCACCAGAGTGGTCAGTGAAAACTCATGGTAGCCAAGGATAAGAAGGTTACATAAGGAAGCGTTCCTATTACCATCCCTGACATGAAATCATAACATGTTGCTCTAAACACTGAACTAAAACACACAGTTTTTCCTGCCAGTCGTACTCAGAGAGGAAACCTTTAGGACTGGAGCTTTTTTACGTCTAAAAATAAACGGCATCATTAAACATCAGTAGGCAGCGTGAGGCAGCTGCGTGTGACTCAAGATAAAAAGACCAACCTATTCTCAAAGGCTGCTCTATCACCACCACCACCACAGCCACCATGGCTCCTGCCAAGAAGTCTGACGCTCCACCAAAATCCAAACACAGCTCAGAAGAGCTCAGGTTTCAAACTCAGTGGGAGGAACCTGAAAGGTTTTTTTTTGAGAAAGTCATTAAAACTAGAAGGGAAAACAACCTGGCCTTCCTCAACTTATTCTGGAGTTTTTCTCAAATTCTGGCTGTTACAGTACAAATCTGACTGATGACACGAGTATGTTTAGTCACCTTAGCATCGTGTAACAATATCTTTCAGACAGGGCTGCTCTGTGGCTTCACAGCTCAAGTGTGTGAAAGAATGCAAAGATAAAATGTGCTCATACACACATAATATATTTACACAGAGTCTACATTACAATGCTTTAAATATGCTTTTGCTATAAACAGAAGTGTGTTTCAGTTAAAGACAACAATGCTGCAGCCACAGTATTGCATAACAGCCTTTCCTCTGGAGCCTGAAATAAGTTCAGACACATAGAGAGATGGCCTGGTGTTGGCAAGTGTCAGCAAACTATCTGGAGGCATCAGACATTCCAAGTTCTTTTTGTTTAATTAGTTTTCCAGGAGTGGAAACTAATGAGCAGGAACTAAGTGAGTCAAAAATGTGAGCAGAAGAGTTGTGTTTGTTTGAGGAACAACAGAGGGACGGGAAGGACAAACTGACAACAACTGATTTACATTGCAGCATAGAGCAGTTCTCACTTCTGCCTTAGTATGACAACGACAGACTCTAACATGTTAAATATGAGCACAAACTGAACACCATGAGATGAACATCCACCAACCAGCACAAACTACAAGCAGCTGGCAGAGACGGTTAAGCGTTGTGACCACATCCTGTCAGAAATGACTGTGGGCCCATTCACCAGCCTCAGTCGGCACATCAGTCCTCTTAAAGGACTCTAGTCAGATGCCAGAATCAGTGTTGCATTGACATCTAGTGGTCAAAAAGCACTACAACAGCTGGAGAATGCAGAGAGTAACCACTGCACAAAATGTTATTGTCACATTATTATAAAATATTATGACAGCTAAATCGTCAATTAACAATGTCCTACACAAAACTCAAATAATCATATGAGGTCTTGTATGTGAAGTGTGCATACAGCAAAAACTCCATTAATATACAGCATGCTCACCAATGTACACTAAATGGTACATATGTAAAGTGTATGCATGTGCTGTGTTGCATTAAAGTAGACAGGCCTCTTCATCTGCATATAACTCAGACAACTCCATTCATTAGTATGAGATAGATGATGTATTCATTAAAGCCTTTATTGCCCAGTTCACTTCCACTCTGTTTAAGCTATAGCTCAACGATCATGCAAACAAGACTGAAAAACTGTTCGGTAAGGTAGGCATTCAGCGAAATGCATCTTTTGCTGGTGCAGGGCACACCAAAGAATACTGTGCAGTACATAAGCAGACACAATGTACTGTCTGTATTTTGCCTGTTTAATTTTAGAAATATACAAAATAATGTATAGTAACAGGAGAAACAAATTGTAATTAAATAAAAGATGACCTGTGGCACTTAATATATTTAAAGTGCTGTGGGCCTGCTCAGCTCAATGCGTCCTTAGTTCCTCCCTTACTGCATCACTTTATTCATTAAGTCTTAAAAGTGTTGCATCGTTTACAAATAATTATACCAATAATAAAAGAGTGTAAAGGGTCAAAACGAGAGCCGAAAAAGCAGGATCTGTCTTTTCTTTTCTTTTTTTGTTATTAAAAACTATTACCAACGTTTGCCGCTAGATGGCGGTAAGTCTATTCTTGCTGTGACAGATTGACAGTGAGGAACAGAGGTCCGCCAAACGTGAAGAAGAAACACTTCCGCTGTGACGCGCTTTGCAGTCAGTAAATGGCGGCGGACAGCAGGGTGGACTGTAAACGTTTCCACGGTTATAACTCTGACTCATAATCTTCTCAACATGTACCGGAGTGTGTCGGAAAAGCAGAGTGGTTTCAAGATGTTTATTTTCAACTTTCAGGTCGGTTCATGCGCCGCGCTGACGCCAAACTCACAGCCGAGGAGCCGCAGACGGAACAAGCGGTAAGAGGAGTTCAGTGTGGATGAAGTGAGGCTGCAGCTCCAGGCTCACATCCTCTGACCTGTGACACTTTCACTATTCATCTCAAGTGTCCCTGCACCTCTCAGTAGCAGTGTTAACAATAGTGATCTCTATATATGTATTTCTGTCTTTCTCAAATGGGTCAAATCTTTCTTCATAGTAGATCTACATACGGCATTGATTCATTCAGCCCCTCCTGACTCTCTCTCTCTCTCTCTCTCTCTCTTTATGTATATATATATTCAAACTGGATTAAAACAACATAATTTGGTTTTTGCAAACAAAATGACGTTCGTGGTTATTTGCATCTAGAGCAGGGAAGTGAGATCTGATCACAAGTCTTAGGAGGCAGGCTTTCCACTCTTGATCAGATCAGGACAGATCTAACTAGGTCTGAACAGGGCCTTACAATCTGTCATGATGCCTTTTATATTTTATGTAAATTGTTTTGCCAAGTCTACGCTGTATTCATGAATAACTTACACTTTTCAATGTCAACATCTTCAGTTGAACTAATGGAGAACGAAGATGGAGAGAATGATGCGGAGTGTGAAGTGGCTGAGCTACGTCTGAGAGCAGACTCACTGAAGCATGAGCTCAGAGAGTGCAGATCCGAGCTGGCAAAGTTACAGAAGCAGCTGAATCAGTCTGAGAGACTCCAGAAGAGCACAGAGAGCTACAACGAAGACCTGAGGAAACAGGTCAGTCCACGCTGACACATGGACCATCATGAGTGACAGTAGAGACTTCAGTGGTGAATCTATTCTTGATAATGCAATTCATTGTTTGGTTTATAAAATAGTCAGATAAAGGAAATATTATTACTATATCCTGCAGTCAATGGAAACAACTAGCTTAAAAAGTTCAAAACATTGAATTCAAACATTCAAAGAGTTATATTTTGAAAAATTGCTGTGACCACAAGTAGAAGGCGGCTTGATTACCTAACAAGTCCTTTATTTATTCTCTTCTGGTGAATGTTTTATTTTATTAAAGTCTATGAACTATTCATTGTATATGCTGTGTAAAGTGGAGTTTGGACATAACTTTAGGTAGGTTGGTCCTCTTCTAGAAAACTCAGGATTTTGGTTTTGTGAATCAGAACAATCAGATCATCATGTTAGGATTCCGAATTATTTGATTTATTGATCTGAATTATTTTGTTTCAGGTGGATCAACTGAGTGCAGAGATTCATGAACGGAAGAAGAAGGATAAAGACAGAGTCAACAGTGAAACTCAGACAGAAGAAAATGTGTGGACAGAATCTGGTGTGTAACTTTCGTATTTGTTGGATAGGATGACAATATCAGAAAATAAGAAAACCGTTGCAAATCTTTGGATATTCTCTTCCAGATTATTACAACTACTACTATGGAAGCTACTATCAGAACACTGAGTCAGCAGATCCTCAGGAAGGTGTGATCGCAGAAGCAGCATCAGCAGCATCAGCAGAAGCAGCATCAGCAGAAGCAGCAGCAGCAGCAGCGGCATCAGCAGCAGTGGACGGAGCTGACCACAGCGAGTCTGTAGAGGTTTCAACACCAAACGAAGCAGCAGCTGCAGATGAGCCAGCTCAACCTAACAGCAGTGTTACAGTGGCAACAGAGGTCAGTTTATTAAAAAGTTAGTTATATTTAAACAGTTACTAGAAGCAGAATTCATTCCAATTTGGTCACAGTGACCTAATGATCTTGGAAATGTTACTTCAGGAACAACCATAGAGAATCCCGTTATATCTGGCACAGACATTCACTTGGATTCAAGGATGATCTGATTATAATTTGGTGGTCAAAGATCAAAGTTACTATGACCTCACATAACCCACTTATTTATCGTGAAGTCTTAGGAACGCCTCGAGAGAATCCTTTCAAATTTGGCACAAAAATGACTCAAGGATTCAATTGTTTCTTTAAAAATGTCAGTTAACAGTTTCAGATAAATATTTGATGTTGTCTCTTCCAGGAGGGCGATGCAGGATCTATAGCTGATATGTTGAGGGCCACTGCTGAAGAGGCAATGACACAGACCGGCTTTGTGTTTGATGAGACCACAGGGATGTACTACGATCACAGCACAGGCTTCTACTACGACTCGGTTTGTCAGCTTCCTCAAATTTTGGCGTCGATAGCAGAATTCATATCAGCAGCAATTTGATTAACAAGCACCAATCATTTGATTTTGTAAATATTGTTTTCTTCCTCAGGCTAGTCAGTTGTACTACGATGCCAACACAGGCATTTACTACTACTGCGAAGCAGAAAGCGGCCGATATCAGTTTCATTCCAGGATTGAGGTTCCTGCTGCACAGACCGGTGTAGAGCCGTGTCCAGACACGTACACTGCTGAAAAGAAAGGCAGGAAGTTCAAGAAAGGACTCAAGAAAACATCACACCAGGACGATAAGGTATGTAAAAACCAAATCTTTCATCGATCCATGGCATGTAGTCATTTTATTCTTTGTGGCTGACAGCTGCCATTTGACTTTGTACCGTTGCCCAAACAAATCTCTGGACTTTGTTGGTCTCAGTCTTCAAACACTTGCTTGTTGTATTCATTTGAGGCTAGTTGACTAAAAGAATATTCCTCTGACCTAGGTGCAAGAGGTGACTAGCTCTTTGGCTAAAATGAAGATTTCCTCTCGCTGGAAAATCGCTGCACACAGAGGTACATTTTTAATACCACCATGTTAAGATCTTAAAAATAGTTCCACTTATTTCTTTAGTTATTTCTCCTACCATCATTAATAGATTATTTTGTACTTTTCAGCAACAAAAAATCCCATATACACTTTTATTAGAGGCAGCAGCTTCTATCATTTATACAAACTACACCTTTAATACTATTATAGATAGTTTGTAATATGTTCTTAGAAAACTTAACAAAGTTCAATTGTTTTCCCAGTGAGTTGGGATCATAGACATTTTCTGTAGGATGTTTCACACAGCTTTTTAAATGAACTGTTAACATGTTTGAAGTGATCATTACTTTCTCTACTGTGTTGTAAACCACACTCAAGGTTTTAGTCACCTCTTGTATGAATCTGCGCACAAACTAATATTTGGATGACTGGGGATTTTCCTGTTAAGCCTGACAAAATGTGGTTGAGGTCTATGATGAGTTGTGTTTGAAGACTGAGATCATGCATTGGGCCAAAAGGCACAGGAGCTACAATACAAAGCCGCTGGCCTGCTGTCAGTGAACAATCACCGCAGGTGCTAATCACACCTTTGACTGTCTGATGGCAGGAACTAACGTTTGATGACATGAAGTTGGAACAAGAAGAAATAGAATGGGTCGAGCTGAAAACAATGAAGAGGAGCACAGAATCCCAGAAACTGAAGCGAAGGTCTCGCAGTGCAGACTTGGCTTCACGTCGGGAGGAGAGCGACAAATCTTCGAAGAGGAAGAAGCAGAAAAACGGTTCACGGCACGATGACAAGGGAAGAACCGAGAAGAAAAGGAAGAAATCAGAAAAGAAGAAGAAGAAGAAGAAAAAGAGCAAGATTCGAAGTGATGACTCGGAGGGGAATAGCGAACCGGAGGAGGGTGAGATCACGGAGTCTGAGAAAGACAAGTGGGAGTCTACTCCTTCATTCTCATCATCGTCTGCATCCCCCTCCGAGGAAAGCCCAGAATCCGAGATGGAGACTCAGAGTCTGGAAGGTGAGAGGAAAGACGCGATGGATTTAGCGACTGTCCAGGGTGCACATGCTCACTATTAGTTCTGCGTGAGGTTTAAGCTGGTAATAACTTGTGTTGTATTTGTTGTCTTAACTTTTTTGGGGGTGTATTTTTCTTGTAGTCAATGCAAACATTTGGCCGCCTTGTGTAAGAGTGACAGTAGTCAGGTCTCCAGTGCTGCAGGTGGGCACTCTGTTCATCATCACTGCCGACTCTCCAGCCACCATCGGCAGGTTTGTGTCATTTTCTCTCTTTTTGTCTCAGTAAAAGTTTGATGCTTTCATACCAAGAACTTAAAAATTAGTGTGGGCAGTTTTAAGAGGATCAATTGTTAGTGCTAAAGCTGCAATACTGAGCCACATGGCTTTAAGAATTAAAAAATACACCAGCTTTGTGAGTAGTACAAGTAGTAGAGGTGCAACAGATCACAAAATCACAGTGCAGATTAGATTATTGTTTTACTCATGGATCAGATGATTTAACTTTCCTTTTTATATATTGAAGAACCTGATGAACAATTATTAAAATACGTTTTTGCAGATCATTTATAACACTATATAGCATCATTCCAGGTGTTCAATGTTTTAAACCAAAAGTAATTTATCTATTTGTGTTGAAACGGGTCGTGAAGCTCTTTGATGACAACGTGCTGTTTTCTGTTGCAGAGAGAAAGATATGGATCATGCAATCAGAATACCAGAGATGGGAGTCAGCAAGGTAAAGCTCTTCACTTCTATATTTACTGAGGGAAGATAATAATTAATTTGAGTAATGCATGGGTGTGTGATGTCTCTAACTGTTGTTCCAGTTCCATGCAGAGGTGCACTTTGACCAGGAGCAGCAGAGCTATGTGCTGGTGGACCAGGGAAGCCAGAACGGAACAGTCATCAATGGCAACCGAATCTTACAGGTCAGCTTTTTTTTTCTCAAATAAATTAGGAATTCTTGAAGCTAGCAGTGACATAATTATCAATATTTCCTCTACAGCCCAAAGCAATATGTGAGCCGCATGTGCTGATGCACGGTGATGAGGTGAAGATGGGAGAGACTGTGCTCTCTTTCCATATCCACTCAGGCACTGACACCTGTGATGGATGTGAGCCTGGGCAGGTGATGGCTCACCTCAGCAAGCACAAGAGAGAGGAGAACACAGGTGAGCAAGTCAAAAGGAAACACAGAAGAAAATGATTCTGGCTCATGAAACAGCAGTGATATGCTTCACTTAAATCTCATTGTTTCCCTAAAGGCCCTTCTCTCACCAAAGAGGATAAAGAAGCACTGAGACAGAAGGAGCTGAAACAGATGAAGGCCAAATATGGCCTGCAGGTCAGTGTTAGCAGCAGCTAGGTTAAACCGTCTATTTTTCTTTACACAGTCACTCACCTCTGTGTTTTCTGTAAACAGAGCAATGAGGAGACCAAAGCCCTGAAGAACCCCAAATATAAGGACCGAGCAGAGTATCGTCGACAGGCGGTGGGCAGTGAGGGGGTTTTCCAAAGAGATGATGCTCCTGCTTCTGTTCACGAGTAAGTCTGTTGTTTTGATTCTTGCTAAAGAATGTAAATAATAGATTTCAGTCATAACTGTATACTATGATTTTCCTATGAAAGGGAGATCAGTGAAGTCAATAAAGGACGGAAGATGCTGGAAAAGATGGGCTGGAAGAAAGGAGAGGGACTTGGCAAAGGGGGAACTGGAATGAAGAACCCAGTAAGAGCACCTCACTGACTGGAGATGTCAAACTGTAGCATCTGCTTTAACATAGATGTATTCTAAAATAGCAACGATATTTGATTTTCTTTTTTTCTCATTCCTTTCTCCACAGATTGAACTGAAAATCAGAAAGTCTCAGTCAGGCCTGGGTGCCGGTGCAGCCATGTCTCTCGACAGCGTCTCTACGACCAAATCAAAGTCCCAGAAGAACTGGGAGAAAGCCAGAGAGAGATTTGCTGATACATGCCAGCCTGACGCACCGGTCGTCAAAACACAGATCAACTCACCCAAAGCCTGGGTGAGAGCAGAAGAGACTGAGACCACCAACTCACAGACAGACAGCCAAAGTTAGGAATACGGGCAGATGCATATATGTACAGGGGAAAATAAGAGCAGAGTGCTTTTTTACTCAGTTTGTTCTTTAGTGTGCTGGTTGAAGGCCCCAGCATCAAACGAAATCTAACCTCTAACTTTGTTCTGTACTAAGCAGAACGTGACCATCAGTGTTTGGAACCAGATTTTAATTAAGTTTGATGAAAATGTGGATCAGTTATAGTCATTTTAGTCTCAATTAGAATTTTTATGTCATCTATGCATTTTAAGACTACAGCTGCCAACACCCTTGTTTACGGTTTCCATGGTGGCAGTGATTTCTTTTTGCTAATGAGGTCAAATTATGAGGATGAGATTGTTAAAACAGCAGAGGAAACAGTTCTGCTAATCTGGAGCTACAGTGTGAGATTTCACGAATGTAGGAATAGATTGAATAAGACACGTATATACATCCAACTTTCACATTTTGTGGTTATTTGTTGAAAATAAAATTTGATGAAGTTCAGAGCTAACTTTTCCATAAATTGGGGTTAAACAAATATAATAAAATAGTTGTCATTGATGAAATGAAACGCTGCTGATCACAAGTATTATGTCAAAATATGGGAACTACATGCGGACCATTAGTAAAATGCTGTCTATCAACCAGTTGTCCATAGCTGTGCGTTAACAGAGTTTGTAAAAGTCAGTTTCTGTGTTTGCAGAATGTTTCTGTCTCTGCTCCATAAGTGAATAATGTGGGATGTTTTCAGTCCACAACACTGGAAGTAAAGTTATTGACAGTGTTTCACAGACCCATGTGTCTGTTGTCAAACCAACACAGGGCAGATCTGCTGCTGTGCCTCCCAGAACAAAGAGTACGTGGATTGCCTCAAGCAAATATTGACACAGTGAAGCTACATTTCTCACAATGACATCATACTGTGATGAGACAACTGTGGATCTGTTCAGACAGCCCCGTAAACTGGATCATGTGACCAAACACCAGACCCCTTCTTAAAATGTTGCACCTTAAAAATGTGCAGTTGCTGAACGTTGTGTAAGACGATCACATTTTGTTGTCACTGCTGTTTTTGCTGCAGAGCTCACACACAGCCACGTGTTTGTTCAAGGCCAGCGAGCAAACATATTGTACAGTCCGTCCATATGAAGTCTTAACTGGAATCATTTTGAGGCTGTGTGAATATTTGCATGTGAGTGCAAGTGTACGCTGAAACAGAGGCCAGTCACACCACAGGGAAAACAAATTCAACTAAGTTCGGCCACAAGTGTTCTCTTGTAGTTCCAGGTATCAGTTTAGCTGCATACAACTTAACAGGAAAGTGTAGTTTGTTATTATAAGTTCATGACAACAAATTCAAAACTAAATGGGGGTGGACTTTGCACAAACACCTGTGTCAAACAGGTGAGTGATCTGACTCACATGCTGCTGCTGGTGTGACTCCTGGAGCTGGCCCTCCTGCTGCTCCTCTTCTGACTTAAAGTGCCCCCCATTCTGATCCCCTCTCGCTCCAGTCAATGGACCGCCGCTGGTATGGGTGTGTATCTCCCTCAGCTTGCAGGCATACTCTCCTGAGACTGTTCAGTGGGAAGCAGTGGTGCTCTGCCGTCACATTTCTTCCTCTCTCTATCAGCAGGTAGGTCCCTCCCTGCCCGAGTCTCCGCCCTCGGCCTCCTGTCAGCAGCTGATACTATAGTGTAATAAAGTTGGGAGGGACCGACTCGTGGCCTGTGTGCCTGGTTGTGTTGGGTAGAAAGTCTCAGCCATAAAAAGATGTTGTGAGTCATGAGATAAAGTGGGAATTCATTCTTGTGTGAGGATGTGGCTCAGGGCGCTTTCAGAGATCAGGCTTGACCAGTTCCTAACACTGCAAGGTCGATCAGAGTAACACTGGGCCTCTGTTCTTTCAAGTGCATTCATAGTTTTTTTTTTGGCATAACAAGTGATTCTTAGTGCTCGGAGGATGAAATCAGCTGACATGTTTTCATGGTCTGATGCATGGTAATGAAACAATCCTAATAAATTAATGTTCCTAGTGTTGCAGTCTATGGTTGCAGGCCATGTTAAACTAATCACTGGAGTGTGTAGAGGCCCCTGTGTCAGTGCATGTTATTGTTGCTCAGAGTATTTCTGAGACAACCATATTTCCTCACCATACTCTCACAGGCAGGTAGCAACAGGTTCTCTTTAAGTCAAAGTTTGAAGCTGAAGCAGAATCTTGTTTATTTGACCGAGGTTGTCGTCATATTCTGCTACTTCAAATCTACTAAAATTACATCCTTTTGAAATTAAGTTGTTTCACCACGTCTGTATTACAGGATGTGATGAGAGTTTTTAGGGTAAAACCAACAGGAACATTTTAACACAGCTGCTAAAATGTGATGTTGCAGTGTCTGACTCTTAAAGTTGCCTGTGTGGCTTCAAGCTGAACACAGGTCAGAGGTTATGGAGCATGGTTGCCTTTACCCAATCACACAGACGTGTAAAAAAAACTGTCGTGTGCTGTATTTCAAAATCAGACAAAGAAGAGGGAAGCGTCTATTGTCTGCAGATAACAGAGGAGTGTCTGAACAGTGAAGTGTTTCAGGTATTCAGAGGATGTTCAAGTCACAAATAGTCCAGATGAGTCAAGATGCTGATGATTGAAAAATATTTTCTGGCCATTGTTTATATTTTTCAATGCACAGTTTAACAGGACATACTGTATTTACTTTCTGTCTCTACATGGATGTTTTTACACAGTGAATGTAAAATGAAACAATCAGCAACTGAAAAGGACAAAGTTTGGATTAGATTCAATTAGATTATTATTTTATTAAATTAAACTCATGCAACAAAATATACAACATTTATTCTTATTAAATGTCCTTATCTAAGGTGTGTTTAATTAAATTGGATTAAACAATACAATTAATAGAATATGTTAAATCGATCACTTATGTTTGAATTAAACTAACTTTGATTTGATTAAACCCAATTAATTTGATGAAGTATCTCAAATTTAAATGATTGAATTAAAATAAATGATATTAAATGAATTTATCCAAAATCAATGAACCAAGATAAACAATTCGATGTACTTAAATTTCAGCCTCTTTATGGATCTAAACTACAGATCTCTATAATTCTTCAATGTAAGAAAAACAAATTCTTCCATTGATCCAGATCTGTCACGGAGTGAAACACGACATCAGCTGGTCCACTGTGAACACGACTGAACACTCCATGTCTTTCCTCTGTCGTGTAGCAAACACACAATAAATGAGTAAGAGCAACTCTGCAACTTCATCATCATCCATAGTTTCCCTACAAAAGAGGACATCATTGATGTCTAAAGTTTTCCATCATGGTCGAGGGCTGGGCTTGGCTGTGCTGCAAGCATCGGTCAGTGGAGTCTGTAATTTTGGAAAATATACCTCAGAAATAGAGTTCAGTGAAAAACACGTCATGTTGGTTTTGAAGTGGAGTTTCTTTGTGTTCAGAGCTTGTCTGATGTGTTGCATTACACAGGGCTGACCACAGCATGTTGCACTGAAACGCTGCTAACAATGTGTTCATCTGAGTGACTCAATCTGCTGCACAGCAAGGTCCTTGTAGTGTGTACACGTAATGAAGACAGTAGCTCCACACATAGATGGAAGATTGAGATCTTTGCAGCCCACTTCACTAAGTTCTTTATGCTGCACTTTATGGTGTTGAGATTAAGACATGAATTTAGAAACTTCTTGTAGAAAAAATTTGGCTAATTAAGTAGAAGGTTACCCAGTTGAGTGCTTACCTCCACCAAGGTCCAACATTCTCCGTATGAAACCACATTTAAATGAACTAGATCCAGATTTTTATTTGGTTCTGCACCAAATTGCATTGAGATTACATGAATTTTTCTCTGAGAAATGAACAAAAATGGAGAAAAACGTGCTCACAAGGTTTAATGAGTGTTTAAAGCTCCACACCTCCACAAAGTTTCATGGAAATCGGATATGGTTTTTGTGTAATACTGCAAACAAACCAACAACATAAGCACAGACGAAACAAGAACTGCCTTGAGGTAAATACAATAATGCATATCTTCCACATGGTTCCTGTGTCTTTGATCCAACTCTTTGATGAGAGGCATGGAACACACACACGTCACATCACACCCAGTCAGCCCGCTCAGCCAAGTCCGTCTGGCTAAATCTGAACCTTGTAAATATTAGAGTAGAGCTCTCAGGCTGAAGACTCAAGATTATACTATTTTAAAAAGTGACTGTTATCCTTGGACAGCAGTCAAATCAGTGTCAGTGAATATGCACTTGTTGTGTGTGAGTGTCCATGTGAGGAGAAGAGAGATCAGGAAGTGGTGGGGGTTTAAACGCTTCCATAAAGTTCACAGGTCATCCAACTTGATCTCTCTGGCTGAAAGGAAATGATCCTCATTCCAACCACATTCCAATGGAAATAAGTTTTTTTACTTAGGTTCATATAAAATCCTTTTTGAGATTTAAAAAAGGAAATTAGATTACCCCCCTTTGGTAAAAGAAATCTTTTGCAAAATGTTTGTTTATATGAAAATGAAGCACATTATTTTGTGCTAGTAAAGTCTTCGTAAGACTTCTATTTGTGTATGTGAGGGAGAAATGACCCATGTAAGTAATGTCATACATGTGAAGGGTTTCATACATTCAGACCTAAATTCCTCTCCTCCAAACTGAGTGGAAATTCCAACAGAGCGGCTTCCTCCCAGCGAGTGACTGAGTCAGAGCCACTGTTGAATGTCTTCCACCCATGTCCGCTCCTGCTCAGGGCCCCAAGCCTCTGGGTGTGTCTCCCTGTGACCTCATCTCCCCAGAAAAAATCCTCCGGAAACATCAGCAGCACGAACAGCCCACATGATGCAGCCTCTGTGCAACTCGTCCACAACTACAAACCAGACAGCTTGTGGAGAAACTCTCTCTGCTCATCACATCAACAGTATGGGTGGTGGGGCCTGTTCATTCAAGCAGAGTGAGTGTGTCTGTCTCTGTGTGTGTGTGTGTGTGTGTGTGTGTGT